CAGGGCAAAAGGGGCAATTGATGAATCATGCCTCTTTTTCTCGACGTGGCTCTCGCTGGACAGCTCCTCGAACTTTCTGGCCTACCAGTCTGACTTCCTGATAGCTGAAATGTTGAATGCGGATCTTCAAAAAACGAGGTGCCGCCCGAATGGCAGTTCTTCGGGGCGTTCGTCCAGCAAGGGAGACTACTGCCCGCAGTGGAAGGGAGTACTTGTGTGGACTTCTGAGGATGGGCCTTGGAACGCGAGGGCGTATTTCAGTATCGTTGATGCATCGTGGCGTTCGATGCACGCGATCTGTGGCATGCTTGTTGCTTCGCTATAAGTGGTGTAATAGGTTTGGTGCAATCTGTGTGGCGCAACCTGTGGTTGCCAGCCAGGTGGTGCAGTCTATGCGGTGCAAGCCGTGTGCTGCAATCTATGTGGCGACGGGTGTGTGTGTGTGTGTGTGCCCCAGGAAACGTCAACCAGCGCACGGGGTGGTCACGATGCGGTCACGGGTGCCCGCTGGCCGAAAGCCTTGACGCACCAGCCAGCGCACGAGGCAGCCACGAGGCGGCCACAGGCGCGCACTGGCCGAAAATCCGCAAGCGCCAGCCAAGTACTCAGCAGAAGCAGAACGAACCCCTCAGGCAAGCACTGTTCCTGGAAGGCTTCTCCAGAGTCTGGGGACTCGTGCTGAGGGGTCTTGGGACGTGAGGGTGTGTGCTTGTGTGTGTGTGTGTGTTGCAGTATCGACTTGGTCCTCCCTCTTCTTTGTCCCTGATCCGTCGTCCTTCCTTCCTCGTCCCTCCTTCCCTCTCCTCCCCTCTCCTTCTCCTCCTCATTCCCGTTCGTCGTCCCCCTCGGTTCTACTACTATTCCTTCCCCGCCCTTGTCCTCGTTCTCCATCCTCCTCCTCGTCCTCGTGCTCGCCCTCCGCTCTCCCACGAGAGACCCATCCCAGGAGTGCACCGCTCAGGAAGAGTGCCCCTCTCTTCCACAGCCTCGTCCCCAGAAGCCCCCAGAAGCCCCCAGACCCTCGAGGCCTCGGCCGAACCAGCATCTGCTGCAGACCCAAGAGGCCCAAGCGCGGGGGCGCGAACGTAATCGCGCCTCGCGCATCGTGGTCTTGGCCATGAGCGGCTGCCCTTCTTGAAGGGGGCGGCGCGAGGTCGCGAGGGCGTGAGGATAACATCGCGTCGCGCATCGCTGGGAGCGATGCGTGAAGTTACATCCCTCCGCGAAACGTACCGCAAGTTTTGCCTGCGCAGTGTCGCCGCCCCTCAGACCCCCAAATCCCAGTCTTGATGCCAAAACGAATTACTTTTTATTTTTCTGTCGGCACCCTCAGACCGTGCCGCGCGCGTCGCTGAACACTGACACCGGGGGGCAAAAGGGGGTCGACAAAACTTGCGTCAAGCTTTGCGGAGGGCTGTAGGTGACCTGGAGAAAACAGCATCCGCCGCAGACCTGGCGCCCGCGCCGACTCGTGCCCTTGACTTCGTGGCCTTCGTGGAGCTGGCCGCCTCGGGCGACTCTGGCGGCCAGCCGCGCAGCGACGGGATCGTCTCGGAGGTGCGGCTCGTCCCGCTGCTGGAGGACGTCGCGGCCGACATCCGCGACCTCTCCGAGCGAGTCTACGGATGCAGCCCCAAGGTTCACAGCGGGCGAATCGAAGGTGCGGGGCCTGGAGTACTCGGGTCGGACGAGACCCTGGTAGGGCTTTGGTCGCGATTTTTGGACGATGTTGCATTTTGTTCACGACGTCGGACCTCAGGGGAGAGGGGGGGGGGCGGGTTCGGGAAACGGGGGGGGCACGGAATCTGCTGCGTGCAGCTGGTTTTGGCTCCGCCGCCACGGCGTTCTCCTCGGTGCGTTGGCGCCTCAGGCGCCAGAGTGCGCCAGGGAGGCCTGCTGCGTTGGCTGGTTCGCTACCCCCCCTTTTGCCATCCCCCCCTCGCGTCCGACCCAAGGTGCGCCCCTTGTTCCTTCCCCTCCCCAGCCTCCGCCTTCTCTGTCTGCTCCTCCTTCTCGGTCGTCCGATCGTTGCCCCCTTGTCAGACGCGGAACCATTCCGCGGGATACCGCCAGAGACGGGCGAAGACCGCTGAGGACGGCCAGACAGCTGAGCAGCGCCGAAGGCAGATGGGTAACAAGATGCCCGTAGCCGAAGACGTAATCTTTTTCTCCTCCCCCTTCACTCTCCTCCCTCCTCCCTCGTGCGGGTGCAACTGCTGCTGCTGGTCTTCCCGTCTTCCTCCTTCCCACGGAGGTCTCTGCACTGGAGGCCTCTGGAGGCCCCAAATTGGGGTCCTCGGCCCTCTATCCCCCTCGCTCGCTCGCCCGCTTCATGAGGGTCACACATGCATCGAACAAGTCGGAGACAAGGTTGGAAAGGGGGCGTAGCCTCCTTCAACTCCAGGTCCGTCGCGCGCGGCCGCGCGCGCAGTGAGAAGAGGAACGCAGTCTCCTCCTCCATCCTTCTTCCTTGCCAATAGCTCCTCCTCGTTGCGCCGCGAGGCCGGTCGAGAGGGCGGGCCAGGCGTTTCGCCTTCCTCACCATTTATGATCCTCAAGCTTGAAATATACAATAGTTTCACGGATGGAGGGCGGCCTGCTTTCAAATTTTGGCTCTCGCTTTAGCGCCGCGCAGATTCGTTAAACATATGCAAGAGTTTCACATATGGAACGCGGTCGGCTTTCAAATGTGGCTCTCGCCTCAGCGCCTCGCATATTCTAATGGAAACAGTTTTCAAGAGTTTCACGGATGGAGGGCGGTCCGCTTTCAAAACGCGGCTCTCGCCCTAGCGTCGCGCACATTCGTCTGAACAGCATTGCAAGAGCTTCGCAGATGGAGGGCGGCCCGCTTTCAAAACGTGGCGCTCGCCTGTGCGCCGCGCACATCCGTTAAACAACACATTACGGGGGATTCATGGGTGGATGGCGGTCGCTTCTCAAAATGTGGCTGTCGCCTTGGCGCCGCGCACATTCGTTTTAAGAGTTTGCAGCAGTTTCAAGGTTCTTATGCCTAAGGTCCTAGAAATGTTTTTTTGGCAAGATGTTGGAATGTCAGGGCACAGCAGTCACATCAATTCGAGGTGTTGAAGTCTTAGGAATGGTTTTCTGGCACGCAGGAATGGGGTTCTGGCACAATTCGGATTTTCCAAACGGTTGTCTTCCAACGGGGCGCTTACCTCAGTGAAGCCGAATCCTTGTTGGGGCCTGTGAGGAGGGAACTTTGAGTGAGGTTTTTTATATATCTTTGATGAGACTTGAGTTTACATGGGTCTCCTCCTCCTCCACAGTTGAACATCATGAGTATTACTCTCCTCTCTCCCCTGACTCTATGCGGCAGATGTTTGGCCCTCTCCGCGTACGTAATTGCACCTCGTATTTCAAACATAGATTTTCCACATGTTTTTACACTCTGATTGTGTTGTTTTTCGGAATGGTGTTCCCGCTGCAGCGTGGGCTTCATTTCTGGCTTGGCCCCGTGCCCTCGTCGCTCAAATCGGCGCTCTCGCCCCAGCGGGGGCCATTTTTCTGGATCCGAGTCCTTTTTCATCGTTCTCGCCTCCATCATTTCTCCTCCTCCGTCATCTCATAGTCCTCCTGCTCCTCTCTTTTTCCGCTCTAGTTCCTGCTGCTGCTGCTGTCCGTCCTCGGCCTCCTACTTCCTCATCCTCCTTTTCCTCCTGCTCAACCCCGTGCTCACCTGCCACCTCCTCCTTCGTGCACAGCTCACCTTTCCCGAATGCGCCTAATGCGACGGGGTCTTGTTTGGAGGTCCATGTCGGCTATGACGCACGTCCGCGGATAAATGACAAATCAGCGCAATGGGAAGGGACGGGAGGGAGGGACAGGATACAGATATGGTGCCAGCGCACCTAAGATGACCTCCTCCCTCTCCCTCTTTCCCACTCTCCTTCTCCTCCTCCTCCTCCTGCTCCTCCTCCTCCTCCTGCCCCCCTTCCCAGGTCGAGATAGTACAGACCGGAGACGGAGTGGTGCACAATATCCCGCGTTACCTCGGCTTCATCTTCCGTGAGATCCTGAAGAACGCGGTCAAGGCTTGGCCGACCGCAGAGAAAGCCTCAAACCGAAGTATAACAAAGTCGAATTTCGGGAAGTACTTCTAGCGGAAAGGAATATCTTCGCTATGCCGTTCTCCCTCCTCCTCCTCCTCCTCCTCCTCCTCCTCCTCCTTCTCCTCCTCCTCCTCCTCCCCATCCTCCTCCTCCTCCTCCTCCTCTTCCTCCCCCTCTTTCTCCTCCTCACTCTGACTCTCCCCTTCCGCCTCTTTCCCCCCCCCATCTTCGTCTCTCTCCTTCTCTCCTCCTCTCCTCCTCCCTCCCTCCCTCCCTCGCTCCCTCCTCCCTTCACTTAGTCTTCTCCCTCTGCTTCCCTCGCGTGTGCCGTTTCACCCCCGCGCCCTTCACATCATATTTTCAGTTGTGCTCTTCGCGGATTCGATGCATGGGAGTCCTCGTTTTCGTCCTCTCTGCAAGGCTTCGGAGTTCAATGGCTGAATGCGTAATACCAGCATTCGCAGACAGAACGTGGTCAGCTCTTAAGTCATCATGCCCCTCGCCGTGCGGCGGGATGCAAGAACAGTATGTGTGTGGTCTGGTGGCTGGCGCCCCCTTCTGTCCAGAGCAACGCGACAGTGCCATCTGCATCGGTGCGATCAGCAGAGAAGCGGGTTGAACCCGAATCCGCACTTATCCCTTTCCTCCTGCTCCCCCTCTTGCTTATCCCCCCCTCCTCCTCTTCCTCTTTCCTACTACCCCTCCGCCCCCTCCATCTCCTCCCCCATCTCATCCATCGGCTCCCCCTCCATCTCCATCTCCATCTCCCCGCCCTCCTTCTCTTCCTCCGAGCTGCTCAGAGGCGACCGTGGAGAGGCACCCAGTCGACACCCCGGCCGTGCAGGTCCACGTCGTCACGGGGACCTACGACGTGCAGGTTAGGATATCGGACCTCGGCGGCGGCATGCCCCGCAGGGTCCTGAAGAGCAT